AGGAGCAGCCAGGTGGATTCAAACGACCCACTGTTTGGTCAGCAGTTGAGAGCTTGAACCTGACCCACCAGGGCTCCTCTGACTCCACACCAGGAGTCTGCATCCAGGTGAGCTCCTCTGGCCCACAACCACCCTGGATGCCAACCCTTCAGACAAATGACACGCCACACGCAGAGGGGACTAAGTCATTCTTCCGCGATGCATCTGGCACGTGTGGGACGAGCTTCGCATCCAGTCTGCCAGACTCTAGAATCGCCACGGGCTGGCATGAGAACTGCTGCCGTGAACACAGAACACGCCGTTGCTGCTTTCTCAGAGCCCTCAGCATAGGTCACCGTCATGGGCGGCCTTTTCAAACCGGAAAATAATTCATGGCTGGAAGTCATCACTTTCTGGCACAAAGTCAAGTCCGTAAGGGCCCCTGGAGTCTTCAATGGCATACCTTTGCTAGATTCCCACGGAAGGTTGCAACTCTTAACCAAATGCCCTCTCCTCCGTTGTCTCTGTGGAAGCCCCCGTGGTGTGGCAGCTTGTGGAATAATTCTTGGCCATATTCTAAGAGGAACGCCTTAGGTGCTGCAAAGGGGGTCATTACTGGTGACAGGAGACCATTACTTGCTATAAATGGGCTTGAGCTAGTGGCCCTTAATCTTGGTTGTACATCACAACTCCTAAAAACCCTGGTATCCAGGATGCACCTGGCCCACTAAATCTGAATCTCTTGAGATGGGGCCAAAGCATCAGGCATGCGTTCCTCTTTTCTGAAGTGCCAGCTGACTCCACTGGTCACCCAAGGCCACTGAGTTAGAGTCTCCTCTTTCACATCCAGGAGCCCTCGTGATCACAAAAGTTAAGAGGCGGACAAAAGAGCTGCCGTCTGAACGCACCAGCTGTGCCAAGGGAGAAGGGCGTGGCAAGCCAGCTTCTGGAAAGAGTTACAGTCTCAGAAGCCCAATGGGGACGGTTCGACTCAGTCCGATAGGGCAGCTGTAAGTTGGATGCATGTGCTTTGTTCTGATCCTTGCTTGCAAGTGATTCCTGTACTAGGCTGCTAACTGGAAGGTTAAAGGTCCGAATCCTTCCAGAGGCACCTCAGAGCAAAGGCCTGGTTGCTCTGCTTCTGAAAACACTAGCTTGTAAAACCCTATGGAGCCCAGTTCTGCTCGAGCGAACATGAGGCCCAGCTGAGTGGAGTTGCCTGGAAGGCAACTGGTAACTCTTTCCACAGTGAGGGCCACTCCCGAGGGCTGGATTTCAAAGACCTGCCTCTTTCCCTGCCAACCCAGACTCACCTGCAGAACTGTGCCTCTCCTCACTTGAGGGTTTTGGTTTTCCAAAGTGTCAGACTCTGAGCAAGGGTAGAAATGACAGCCTCAGGAGACTGTCCCCCCAGCGAGGAGATCCTTCATCGTGTGGCAAATGGGCCAAGATTCCGATTCCTTCTGGAGAGAGAAATGCCTGCTAGTGAGTCTCGTCTCCTTCCAGAGCAATGACCTTCCCTGCAAATGGGGGGAGTCGTGGCAGAGGGGCTTGGAAAATGGAGAGCCACAGGCACTGTCCCCACTCTCCAAACGACCTGCACAGAGCCTTCTGTTCACTTAGTGGAAGTGGCGCGTGGGCCCAGGAGATGCCAACTGACTGGCAGTAAGCAGTGTGTAGAAAGTGAAACTGTGGCAGAGCCTGGGCTTGACTTTTCCCTTTAAGTTTGTTTTGTAACAAAGGAGGAGTCCCCAGCATTTCCGCCTCTGACTTTGCCCGTCTGTGAGTCATAAATGTCTGTCTGCAGCCCAAGCTGCGTGGGGCAAGGGTTTTGCCAACACAGAAGCAGACACTGTTATCAATGGGACATTCCTATCTGTGAGGCCATTCAGACCTTCCTTTTGATTGACAGAGTCTTCCAGAAGCGAGCTTTTGCACTGACTCTGGGCTCCTCCCCACCTTCTGTGCCCCTCAAGTGTCTTTTAATGCAGGTTGCAGACTCTGTCAGTCTTTGGGGAGTTCTGGCTCCTGAGCCCTGTTGGTAACATGGATAATGTGATCACGCTATAAGTTGTTTGTTGGCCTTTCTTATTTTAAAAGGGCCACCAACAGCTCCCTGCCAGTCAGTGCCAATCCCTCCCTTTTACTGCCTGCCTCTGTGGGCCTGGGTTTAGAAAAGTAAAGGTCATTGTAAAGGAGTCCGAGAAACAGCATGCCCCAACATTGCTCCTGAATTTCAGTTTCCCTAATAGTTCTTCAGATGCTTACATCAATGTGCTTATTACATTATCTATATCAAGGGTCCTCAAACTTTTTAAACAGGGGGGGCCAGTTCACTGTCCCTCATACCGGTGGAGGGCTGGACTATAGTTTAAAAAAAACCAAGAACAAATTCCTATGCACAGTGGATGAGGCGGCTGCTATGCAGGACTGGCAGCGGCGGCAACAACATCTGGTGGGCCAGATAAATGTCCTCGGCGGGCCACATGTGGCCTGCGGGCCATAGTTTGAGGACCCCTGATCTGTATAATGAGCTGATTTGTGACTTATAGGGGCATGGAATACTTCATAAATAACTCCTGCTACCTATTGGTATTACAAACCTGTATTATATTATTTATTTCATGGAAATAGTGTGTATTTGTAGGTTTTAAATGTATTATGTTTGGGACATAAAACTCAAACCACCTGTCATTGAGTTGATTCCAATTCAAGGAGACGTTTTGCAGGCCTTCCAAGGCTGTGCGTCTTCACCAGGATGGACAGCTTCATCTTTCTGCTGTAGAGCAGCTGATGGCTTTGAACTGCTGACCTTGCAGTTAGCAATCCATTGCTTACCCAACAGGGTCACATCAACACAAACAGAATAATTCCCTGCCATGGAGTTGATGCCAGCTCATAGTGACTCCTTTGGAAAGGGTAGAACTGCCCTGGTGAGTTTCCAACGCTGTGCTCCCATGGTTAGATCAGAAAATCAAGAGACCGCGGTGGCTACCTGGAGATCCAGAGCAGCCAGAGATCCATGAGCAGACCGGAGGTCTGGAGCAGCCAGAGATCGGAAGCAGAGCTCTTGTCTTTTCTTGGCTGGGAGATCGAGCTAAGTCCGTTTCTGAGGATATCCTCAGCCAATGGCAGCAAAGTAGTCAAACTACCCGCCCTCATATCCTCTTCTAGCCCCAAACATCAGAAAAACAGTCCGTGTGACCCTGAACCAAAAAAAAAAAAAAGAATTATGAACAAATTGTTTATTGATTCCTCTGTACTGATTGCCATAACAACCATTAAAATATCAGTTACAAAAAAAAAACAAAAACAAAAACCTCAGAAGGAAATCAAGAGGGTTGCCAATAACAGAACAGAGTGTCACCAAATGGCCAGGCACAGGCGTGTGTACCATAGAATGCTGCGGAGTGAAGAGCGTCACATCTCGCACAGCAGGGTCGAGTCCTAAATCCCCATGTGGTGTCAAGGGTTCACAACCCGACTGACAGGTTCAGCAGGTATATGTAGAGCCATGGCAGAGTCCTTTGGGGGCTTTATTTGCACCTGGGCATCCTCATGAAGAAGGAACCCCATCGATGGTACAGTGCTTCTGTTAGTCCAGGTTGACTAGAGACACTCGTGTATGTGTAAGAGAGACCTTTATATCAAGAAGTAAGTATACATCAATTAAACATCCCAGCCCAGTCCAGATCAAGTCCATAAGTTCGATATTATCCCATAGGTCTAATAGTAGTCCATGAATTCCTCTTTGGACTGATGCAGCACATGCAATGATGTCGAACGCAGGAAGATCATCACGGGCTGGTGGGTGGAAAGTCCTGTGGATCCAATGACAGTGGACGTATCTCCAGGGCTGTGGCTGCCGTTAGCATGGCGCCATGTGACTTGTCAACAGGAATGTGAAGCAGAGAGAAAACGACAGTGTTCTGCCTCCAGAGAAACAGAGAGTCTGTGACGTGATTGACAGGCTAGACTCCACCCCTCCATTCTTTTATCAAGTTGACATGAAATTGTGCAACTACCACAGTGGGTTGTTACAATTTACTGCCTCAGAAATGTTAGGGAGCCCTCTCCTAGAAGGTTGCCATGAGTCAGAATCAACCGGAAGTCCGTAGGTTGGCCTCGTGCAAACTATCTAGAAAAGCCGCTGTTTGAAGCATCACAGTCCTGAGAACACCCTTCCTTTGTCCCCTTTAGGCCGTACAAAGACTCCTCTGCCTACAGAGGTCAATTGAGTAAGGTTACTGAGGGCAGGCGGCCAGCCCAGGTGTCGTCTAAAGGAAAAAGTAAAGACTGGCAAACCCAGGAGACTGCCCAGCTCCAGGGCCTGAGCTGCTGCCTGGCTCCAGCTGCTTTGGGCTGGGTGGGAAGGTGGTCTGTGTTGCCATCAGACTGTCTGAGGACCCTCTGAGATTTTAAATGCTGGCGAGTGATTAAAAACACTGGGGATTTTTCATTTGCTAAAACACATTTTTACCACTCGGGATGAAGGAGAAGCGTCCACAGGTTGGTTACAGCTTCTAGGTCTCTATGGTTGGGTGCTGACCTGTTGACCTGGACTCGGGGTAACCTGTGTACACACACTGAAACCTTGGCCAGTCTTGAGCCACCTCTCCAACTGTTGGGATGCACTTCATCTGTGGCTGCAGTCCTTGTGTGTATCAAGTGCCACTCAACGGGGGGCTCCTCTTCCACTAGTGTATCACAGCATCCTATTGTGGTCCATGCCTTCTTCATAGACACACCAGACCTTTCTTTCTTGTCCATCTTAGCCCTCTCATGTAGGACTTCTGCTCTGGACAAGCGTCAGCCTGTGTACTTGTCTACTTATCTCTGATCAACCTTCCTGGGAGCCTGGAAACGTATGCTCACCATCTTTGCAGGCGGGAAGGTTTTTTGTATGTAGAGCCATGGTTTGGGGCTTCACATCACAGCCCTGGCCACGGTGCAACCTTGGCCCTCAGTGAGCACTTAGTGAGAAAACATGAAAGTCGCATCGGTTTCCTGTTCCTCGACAGGGCCTTTCATTGGCTTGTTCATCAACACCTGTGGGTGCCGCTGGACGGCGATCATCGGCGGAGTGGTGAACGCCCTGGGCTGGGTGCTGAGCGCCTACGCTGCCAACGTGCACTACCTCTTCTTTACGTTCGGCGTGGCAGCTGGTAAGCATGCTTGCTTTTTACCCTGATTTTAAACGTTGTTGTTGGGCGTTTTGAAAATGAGTGTAATTGCGGGGCAAGGAGCCCACTAACGCATTCTATTCTTTGGGCTTCTCTAGCCTCCCCGCTACACATCCTTTCTGCTCCTCTGAGGATTTACAGCCTGGGAAACTCCAGAGGGTCACTCTAAATCAGACTCGAGGGGAGGAGTTCAAAACCACCATTTGCTTCTCAGGAGAAAGATGAGGCTTCCTACTCCCATAAAGAATTACAGACTCAGAAACTCAAAGGAACAATGCTCACCTGTCCTAACGAGTTGCTATGTGTCAGCCTGGATGCGAGGGCAATGAGTTTGGCTTGGCAGTGGGCTTAGTTTGGGATTGGCACCCCCCAGCAGAGTCATGGATATATTTGAAGCAGATATCTGTGGTCACTAATTAGCAACGTAGGAAGAAGAACCTTGTCTGGGTGGACTATGTTCTGCAGTTGACCTTGATGCCCCCCAAGACTGAGCCTACAGGCCCAATGACTCATTCCTTCAAGATTTTATGGTTATGGCTAAAAAGTCTTCAGGATTTTGCCCCCAGGATGCTCTATTATATTCCAGAATATATTTGCAATATGGGTAAATATTTTTGTAGGAGTTTCCTCTGCCCATCCTAGGTCGATGCCCATTCTCCTCGCCACACCTGTCCAGCTTCCAGAAAAACCTTTTTAATACAGCGCATTAAATATGCCTCAAGGGTAGAAACCAACCTCGCTCTTGTGCTTGGCTTTCTTGTTTCTAACCCTTTTCCCACGAAACAGGAAAAGAAGGGTAACCAAAGAGCCCTGGTAGAGTGGTGGTTACACATTGGGCTGCTAACTGCAAGGTCAGCAGTTCAAAACCCACCAACTGTTCCATGGGAGTAGATGGGGCTTCCTACTCCCATAAAGAATTACTGTCTCAGACACTCACAGGGACAGTTCCACTCTATCCTACGTCAGTGTCAACTGAATGACCATGCGTTTGTGTGTTTTTGTTTATACAGACTCGAGTGAATAAAGCAAATTACTAACTGCCACTGAGTGGATTCCATCTCACACTGACTACGTGTAGATAGTTTCCAAGACTGTGAAGCTTGACGAGGCAGGCAGCCTCATGTTTCTCCCACAGAGTGGCTGGTGGGCTTGAACTGCTGACCTTACACTTAGCAGCCCAATGCCTAACCCACAGTGCCGCCAGGTCTCTTTTTCCTTTGAATAGAGCAAATTTTAAGAAATAAATATCATTCTCCCATTGAATAACTACTTCAGAACTGAGCGTGACTCACCAGCTAATCATTTTTCTCTGTCAGCCTTGTTCAAATTAATGAAATTGCAACAAAATCCACAGCACAGAGGGAGTCTCAGAGGCGAATCTAGGGCACAGTGAGGAGTCCTTCCTCTGTGAGGGAGTTAAAATTGGCTGCCAGCCTGTGCTGGTTTGCAAATCCGTTTTCCACAAGCACGTTCATTTCCTTTATCCACAGGTCACCGGCTGGCACCGGTGCACACTCCTTATTGGTACAATTGTATATCCATGAGCCGGATCCAACCCAATTTTTTTTCCATCGTAAATACAGAACTGCAGTCTTCCTAAAAAGTGACACATTTACAGTAGTGCCAGACTAGAGTTCAAAGTTATAGTGTAGACATTCCGATTGATATATATTTACCACTTCTTATCCATGTAGCTTTAGGCGAGACACTCGAATGACCCTTATCTGTAAAATGGAGCTGGTGGGAAGGGGTGCTTCAGAAGGTGGCTGACACCATGACGCATTGCTATCTAACTGGTTTCCACTTACAGTGACCCGTTAGAACAATTGAACACCCCACCCCTACCACACACATCACACACACAAATACACTGGGTTTCCAAGGCTGTCACTTCTATGGGAGCAGACTTCGCATCCATCTTTCTGCCTCAGAGCAGCTGGTAAGTATTTAACCCTTTGGCCATGGGGCCCCAATTAAATACAAGAGCAAAAAAAGATGCTAAGCGTTACTCTGAAAAGCAAGCCACTGTACATGGGAAGGAAGTTTTGTTTCTTTATTCCAAGAGAGCATTTGAGACAGACAGATTCATTTACATTCTTTCCTGTGTATGTGTGTGCTGAACAAGTAGGCAATGAAACTACAGGGGAACCAGCCTTCAAGTAAGCATAAAACTGATGTCAGTCCGTTATGCCAGTGAGCTTTCTTAATTGAGGCAGTGTATGTTCAGGTCTCAGCTTTGAGCTTGGCTGTGGAAGAGGCCTCCTCTCTGTCCGCTCTGACTCGGACCCTCTGCCCGCCTGGCCTCCTCCCAGACCATCAGGCTGTTTCCGCCATCCTCCTCTGGGGCTGAGTGCAGCGAGGAACCGGGCTCAGACTCTACACTGGCCTAGCCTCTGAGGATCCTGGTGGCAAACTGAGTTAAGCACCAGAGACTAACCACAAAGTCAACAGTTTGACGTCACAAACTGCCCTGAGGGAGAAAAATGAGGCTTTCTGCTCTCCGTCTCTGAAACCCACAGGGGCAGTTCTACTCCGGCTGTAAGGTTGCTGTGAGACAGCATTGGCTCTGTGTACGGAGTTGCTTTCTTTCCCTTTTTAAATCAGTTTTATCGTCATATAATGCACGCCCCGTGCAATGCTATGGTTTAAGTCAGCGGTTCTCAACCTGTGGTTCGTGACCCCTCTGGGGGTCGAATGACCCTTTCACAGGAGTCACCTGATTCATAACAGTAGCAAACTGACAGTGATGAAGTAGCAACGAAAATAATGTTATGGTTGGGAGGTCACCACCACATGAGGAGCTGTATGAAAGAGGGGCGCCATGAGGAAGGTTGAGAACCACTGGTCTAAGTCTACTAAGAAGAGTTGTGCAATCATCAGCACCACCACACTTAGTTCTCTGTGTTCCTGGGCCTGGGAATTTGGCTTTGGGTTTCACAGTTGGGGTGTAGCCAGTCTATTTTGGGGTTTAGAGTGGGAAAGATGACATTTTCTACTTCCATGAAGTTACAGTCTCAGAATCCCACAGGGGCAGTTCTACCCCGATCCCACGGGATGGCTGTGAGTCAGAATTGACCCCATGGCAGTGAGTTTGTTTGGTTAATCATTGAAGGGCAGATCACCCAAGTCTTCCTCCTTGAGGCTGATGGATGGGTTTGAAGTACCAACCTTGGCGTGAGCAGTAGAGGGCTTTAACTGTTATGCCACCAGGGCTCCTTGCCATCACAGTAAATCATTATTATTTCTTTGTTAGAAAAAGAAACTTTTACCAGGAAGGAAAAAAGAATGTTTGGAATCTTATTGTGGTAGCAATTGTACAATACTTGCTTGACATGGTTGAACTGTGGAATGATATGTTATATGCATTAACTCCTAATTAATAATCTATTTTTAAAGAAAAGAAAGGTAAACAGAAAGACCTAGGACTATTTATAGTCCCCCCCCCCATTTTTTTTTCTTCATGTCTATATATATGATAGGCAAGATAAACAATCCTGAGGAGAAAACAATGGGACCAACAGTTCCCGGGGGACACAGGAGAGGGGGAGGTAGGGGAAAGGGAGGAGGGAGCCAACAAACCCAGAGACAAGGGAACGACAAGAGATCTAAAGTCAATGGTGAGGCATGGAATGGCTGATGGGGTTTGATCAAGGGCAGTGTAACCGAGAGGCATTACTGAGAGCTGAATGAAGGTCGAACATGATAGTGGGACAGGAGGAAAGTAAAAGGAAATAGAGGAAAGAACCAGGAGGCAAAAGACATTTATAGAGGTATAAATATAGGCATGTGCCTGTGTAAATATATTAATACATAATGATAGGGATATACATTTCTGTATATATATTTATATGTTAAGTATTAAGGAAGCAGATGGACATTGGGCCTCTACTCGAGTACTCCCTCAACACAAGAACACTTTGTTCTAATAACTGGGCATTCTGTGATGCTCACCTTCCCAATACGATCGCTGAAGACAAAATGGGTGTGTAAGAAAATGTGGTGAAGAAAGGTGATGGTGCCTGGCTATCAAAAGATATAGCATCTAGAGTCTTAAAGGCTTAAAGATCAACAAGTGACCATCTAGCAGGGAAGCAACAAAGCCCACATGGAAGAAGCACACCAGCCTGTGTGATCATGAGGTGTCAACAGGATCAGATATCAGGCAAGCAAATATTTGAACAAGGTGGGTAGAAGTGGAGACCCCAAACCCATCTGTAGACAATTGAACATCCCCACACAGAAGGGTCACAAGGAAGTGATGAGTCAGCCAGGGTGCAGTATAGTACTGACAAAACACACACTATTCTTCTAGTTCTTTAATGCTTCCTCCCTCACTCTCAACTATCATGACTCCAGTTTTACCTTAAAAACCCTGCTAGACTGGAGCATGTACACTGGTACAGGTAAGAGCTCTTAGCACATGGAATCTAGGACAGATAACCCCCCAGGAACAGTAATGGGAGTAGCAATACCATGAGGATAGGGAGAAGGGGGGGAAGAAGGGGGGGTGGAAAGAAAGGGGAAACCAATGGGAAGGACTGATGTATAAATTGCCCCACCACCACCCAGGAGGATAAACAACAGAAACGTGGGTGAAGGGAGACAGCAGATGGTATAAGATATGAAAATAAAAATAGCTTATAACTGATCAAGTGTTCACGAGTGTGGGAGGGGAGGGAGGGAAAAAAGAGGAGCTGATACCAAGGGCTCAAGAAGAAAGAAAAGGTTTGACCATGATGATAGCAACATATGTACAAATGCGCTTTATAAAATGGATGTATGGATTGTTATAAGAGCTGTAAGAGCCTCTAATAAAACGATTTATTAAAAAGATAGTTTTAACAAAGTATTTTCTGTTTTCTTTTCAATTGAAGTTTTTGTTTTGTCTAGTCGTTGTTGGGCAGGGTGTGCCTGCTTCCTGTTTGTGTTTTGTGTGTTTTGCTGTGAACTCCAGGAGGGGTAGCTCTCTGGAGACAGTAACAGGATTGATAATTGCCTAGGGGCCTGGCAGAGGGGCATGGGGGGAGTGGGGAGCTGACCACAATGAGCAGGAGAAGAAATTTTTTTAAATGTTCTGACATTGATCGTGGTGATGATCACACAGTTCCCCTGGAGATGAGGGAACTGTTACAGTGTATGAGATGTGAAATCGCTGGCAATGAAACAGGTTTAAACAAAGAAGCAAACAGAAAAGGTAACTGATCGCATGCGACACGTTGGGCTTGGTTGGACACGTCCCTGACTGCGTCTCCTTCTCCTCCCCCGCTGCTGCAGGCTTCGGGAGCGGCATGGCCTACCTGCCCGCCGTGGTCATGGTCAGCAGGTATTTCCAGAAGCGCCGCGCGCTGGCGCAGGGCCTCAGCACCACGGGGACGGGGTTTGGCACCTTCCTGATGACGGTGCTGCTCAAGTACCTCTGCGCCGAGTATGGGTGGCGCAACGCCATGTTCATTCAAGGCGCCCTGTCCTTGAACCTGTGTGTGTGCGGGGCGCTCCTGAGGCCCCTGGCAGCCGGCCCCGCTAGAGGAGAGCCCGCAGGCAAGGGGGCGCCGGCCCCCCAGGCTCGCTCCCCCGAGGAGTCGGTGCGGGCAGCCGGGCAGCCGGCCAGGGCCGAGGAGCTGGACGGCGCGCCCGCCAGCAAGGCAGCCCTGGGTGACGGGCAAGCCCTGGAGAGCGAAGGCCAGGCCCGGCCCCGGAGGGACATGCGCGCCCTCCGCGTCCTCAAGACCTTGAGTCAGCTCACTCTGCGGGTCCGGGAGGGCTGCGGAGACTGGTATGCGGGCTACTTTGGGACGGCCTCGCTGTTCACCAACCGAATGTTCCTCGCCTTCGTCTTCTGGGCCTTGTTTGCCTACAGCAGCTTCGTCATCCCGTTCATCCACCTCCCCGAGATCGTGCGCCTGTACCACTTATCGGAGCAGAACGACGCCTTCCCGCTGACCTCCATCATAGCCATCATGCACATCCTCGGGAAGGTGATTCTGGGCATCGTCGCCGACCTCCCGTGCATCCGCGTCTGGAACGTCTTCCTGGTGGCCAACTTCTCCCTGGTCACCAGCATCCTCGTCCTGCCGCTGATGCACACCTATGCTGGCCTGGCTGCCGTCTGCGCTCTGATCGGGTTCTCCAGCGGCTATTTCTCCCTGATGCCCGTGGTGACCGAGGACCTGGTCGGCATCGAGCACCTGGCCAACGCCTACGGCATCATCATCTGTGCCAACGGCATCTCCGCGCTGCTGGGCCCACCTTTTGCAGGTAAGCTGCCCAGGACTAGAAGAGGTGGGGTGGGGGGCGGGGGTTGAGTTAAAAGGGAGCCGATATCAATGAAGTTAAGAAGGAGAATGCTTTGAAACGTACTGTGGCAACCAGTGTACCAAACTGCTTGATGTGACTGAACTATGGGATGTTATGCTATCTATAAGAGCTCACAATAAAGTGATAATAAAAAAAGAGAAAGAACAAGAGTTGAGGGAGAGTGTTACTGACAAGGAAATTCACATACCAGAAAACTTTCTTCCTAGTGACTGATACTATAGGGTAGAGTAGAACTGTCCATGTAGGTTTCTAAGACTGTAAATCTTGTCTTTCTCCCATTTCCCATGGAAGTGTCGGTGGTTTTCGAACTGCTGACTTGGCAGTTAGCAGCCCAAAGTGTAACCTCTGTGCTACAAGGGCGCAAGGAGCTTCTGAAAAAAGGAGCCTTTGAAGACAACCTAAATGGAGCACAGTTCTCTTTTTAAATT